GTCGCCATATTAAATTTAAATTTAGTTCTTTTAATTCTTTGAGGAAATTGATAAATGTATATTATTATTAACTGACCTTTTTTTATTTTTAAGTATAGAACCACATTTAAAGTATATCAGAATATTCAATTAATTAATATTTTAGTTGTTAAATTAGAACTATAATTTGAAATTTAAAAACCCCATCCAACAAATCAATCTATATTAAAATAAAATATATGTTTATTTTATTACACTTTTACTTCAATATTCTCATTATATCAATTTTTCACTGAATATATATTCTCAATTATTCAGGAAAATAATTGGAAAAATTATTAACTACTCATAAACTAAAACTCTTCCTCAATTAAATTAATAAAGAACAAGCAGAAAGATTTTAAAATGAGATTTCATTAATAAATTGATAGTTTTAATTTATATTATTTCTGCTAATTAATTCAAGTAATATAATGATTTCAATTTCTGAATGTTTTTAACTTCCAAATTTTAGTATAACAAAATTAAGAGAATAAATGAGAATAATTTTTCTGATTTTTGTATAATAATAATAATACTTATATCAATAAATTTCTTATTAATCCTTTTTGAAAACACATTTTATCAATATCTCTATTTATTCGATTAAATATTTAATCATTTTCACATTTATATTAGCNATATCTAAATTTATTCAGTTTTATCATCCCATGTTACCATAAACTATCCATCTGCTGTTAATCTGCCAAAAGAATTTCCTGTTCCAAGATCAATAAATTAAATTAATTTAAATTCAGCTTATTAGTTTATCTTTATTAAATTGATATTAAATCCATTCTTACAGACTAAAATTTACTTTTATTTAATGTATTATGATTCAAAAAAACAATGACAACTACTCCCATTTTTAATTTAAAGTTCGTTGATTTGGTTAAATAATTTAGTTTAATGATTCAACTCATAGATATTCATTTTAGAAGACAGATATGGTTAGACAATAAACAAGCTATCACTAATAAAACATAATCTTTAACCTTATTAATTAATTTTTTATATAATAATCCATTCCTTATTTTCTTATTATTAACTTATTAATATTTCATTATCATCTTAAGCACAAGAAATTAAATAATTCTAAGATTCATTTAAACTTATACTCATTATATCACTATTATGGTGATATAATGTTTATGAACATTACCATAAATTATCTTTTCTCCAAAACTTGATGCTTTTGTCTCTGCTTCCAGATATTATTAAATCATCATATTAATTAATCAATATACAACGAATCCAATTATTGTGTTCTGTTAATTTTTATTATGCATACCATTTATTATTTTCATAAATCTTCCAAATTATAATACTATTATCTAAACTACCAGATAAAAATGAATTTGACTAATTCATATAATTTAAACATCCTACTATACCCTTATGTTCATTGAGTCTTTATAAAATTTTAATATTTCCTTAATTAAATTGAAATATTTTTATTATACCATCCATATATCCAGTAATCATAATACTAGAATCTTGATTAAAACATACTGAAAAACAATAATCGTTTTCTTTGATAGAGTTGATAACTTGATATTTAAATAATTATATTTCTGAATTTGTATTATTTGTAGTAATTTAGTCATTTTATTCTAGAGGATCTTAAAGAATTTCTTATGATTAAAAAAATTTGGAAAAGCATTTAATTAATGTTTCTGTGTTTTGAGATGCCAATTAAATAAATGGTTGGCATTCACTATTAAATTTAATTAGCTAAGCAATGATATTATTCATAGATTGGGAGTTTATCTGTTTTAATGTTTCACCTGTGATTGAGAAATCTATTCCCATCATCTGATTTAAATAGTCAAATATCTCATTAATTTTTTCATTTAGAATATTCAGTTGATTAATAAATTTATTGCATTGCTTTGATTTTTCTGATAAAAAACTAAGTAGATCAGGGATTTATTTCAAATTATTTATATGTTATTTGTAATGCATTAGACGCAGCCTAATCTAAATTAAGTGCAGAATTCATCAAGGCAAGCAAATGAAATAAATTCAGAATGATTGGAAATAGAGCATTTCATTTAAAAGCTAATTAATTGTATTTTTACTTTAATATTGATTTTAGTATTCTTATTTTTATAATAAAAGATTATTTTAATTTATAAAATAGATATATATTTATATAAATTTTAAGAAACTATATATTATCATTTAAAAAAATCAAACTAACTATTAGTTTACAGATGATTCTCAACATCAAACATTTCATTATCCTTTAAAATTTTCTAAAGCATAATTCATTTTTTCATTCTAGAGTGAATGATTACAGGAATATAGAAATAGATTTGGTTTTTGTTTAAGGAGAAAAATCGAAAAATAACTGAAATAACAGATATAATTTAAATATTTTCAAATTAGTTGAAAAAATAATTGAAGTTTTAAATTAAAAATTGATTAAAGAAAATGATTAAACCGTATTAATAGGTAGCTTAACTACTTCAAATAAAAGCTTCATAAAATCTAATTTTTATTAAATTAGAGGACTATTTTAAATTGAAACAGATAGATTAATTTATTTTAGATAAAATTCTTTATTTTATTTACAAAATCCAACATAATTATGGATTCATTAATATAAGGTTTTATTATAATCCTTATATTGCTATTTATAAATAATTGTTTAGAATTAATATGAATGTTATAAATCAATAAAGATCTTATATTAGAAGAGAATCAAAAATAGTTGATAATAGTTTTACTCTAATTTAAAGATAGCATTAGGTAGAAAAGTTTTGATATATTGATAAGCCCTAGATCATATGATTAATTAGAAAAAAAAATTTAAGTTTGGTTTAATTGATTGATTAATTTCTAATAACAGTAAGAGTTGAATACTTTGCTCATTATGATAGATTTAGTTACAAAAGAGAAATCAATGAATAGAGATTAAGGGTTTTGATTTTAGATTCTCTGTAGAAGAATAGTAA